TGTACCCAAGCTGCTCGCAACCCCCGCACGGGGAAGAGCTGCAGTTCCCAGCGCAGAGCAACCCCAAGAGGCGGACGGAAGTGAGGTCTGCAGTCACCGCTCACACACACACACACACACACACACACAGCACACACACACATCTCAGAAGGAGAATCTGCAGTCCCAGCCGCAGAGCAACCCCACAAGCAATACACATACACCAGCCAGCATTATAATAAAAAAAATTATTTATTATTATGTATTATTATTATTCATTATTAAATTATTATTATTATTATTATTATTATTTATTATTATTTTGTTGTTGTTGTAGTTGTGTGTTCTGTTATGTACGCTAATGAATTCATTCGTGCGATTTCCATTGAAATAATTTTCTCTAGAAAATTAATCCAATTTATATAAACAGCTTAATGAACTTCAAATTCTTGTGTTGAAATTTCAAAGGCCATGAATACCGTTGATCACAAATTTTACCTCCTTTATTGTTATTCTCTTTAATTAATACGGTGGACGAGTTAGGTGTGAATGTTTTTTAAAAGCAGGACCGTATGAGGTTATTACAAAAAGCTGATTGTTCACATCCATAAGGAACTGTCGTCAGAGAATAAAATTTACATGAATTCGTAAAGAATATCCATAACGTTTTCCATAAAAATACATACAGACATTACTATACTATATGCTGCCTGCCGTTTTTCCTCGTAGAAATTGTTGAGTAGTTTTAGAAGTCTCAAGTAAATATATTTCCAGTGTATATTTGTTTACTAAAATTATTGCGAATTTGTTAGAAAATTTGTTTATTAGCGATTTTAGACTTACCACAAGGGATCTAATTGCTTAGTTGCATAATTTCTTCGTTCAATTGTTACTTTTCTTTCGCCTACCGTGGACTTGCACATCCCGAAAACTCTCAAGAAATTCGCGTACTTGCGGTGGTATTTTTTGTGCCACCATCCCTGCTTCTTTTTGTTTAAGCTCGAGCATATGCATTGGAAACTGAAAAGTTTCAATTTATATATCCAATTTTTGAATTTCAAATCCGACGCGTGTCCCTTGAAGATAACCTAAGAAATCGTTTTATTATTTTGGCTGTATTTAAAGTATTTATATTTGAAATATTTCTCTTGAATCTCTCTTTCCACGCCTTGCCACGCCTTGCCACGCCTTGCCACGCCTTGCCACGCCTTGCCACGCCTTGCCACGCCCGTTTTATACACTCCGTCTTTTACTTTTGGCTTTTACTCTTTTTCCATCTTCTTTCACTCTAACAATTTTATTATTTATTTTCCTCTCTTCTTTTACTTTACTTTTCTTTTTCTTGTCTTCCCTTCCTTTTTCTTTTCATTTCTCCTTTTTCATTTTCATTTTCTTTTCCTTTTTTCTATTTCATTTCCTTTCTTCTTTAATATTTTCTTCTCTTTGGTCTTCACTTTTTCTGCTTTTATAGATAACAAAAATATTTGCTATTAATAAAATGTAGACTTTTTGTTGTTGTTGTTGTTGCTCAATTATTAGCTGACAGATTCTTACATAAATTGATAGTATTGTTACATGTAACAATTATTTGTGTGTAATTAACTTGCTATGAATATACTTATCTTGTTCTATGTATATTTGTAACATACGATGACTTCTCAGTGACCTTTAAAATGAAAACATTGACATTTTTGCAGTACTTAATACTTTACGATGCAGGTTCAATAAAATATAGTTTCCAAAATTTTCAAGAATTTTGTCAAAATCTATAATCTCAAAGATGATTATTGCATGATAAATCTTTAATCTCAATTCCTATTGTTGCAATTATTTGTTTTATAAAACCTTTATTCGTCATTATTATTTTAATTACTTATTTTATAAATATTTTACACAGTTAATAGAAGTGATATTGAAGGTAACAATTGTTATTGTTTTTAACTTAATTTATATTGTTGTGTTAATTAGTACTTATTTTATAAATATTCTGTTAAGTTATTAATGAAATTGATCATGAAGAAAACTATTTCACTTTTAATTTATTTTTAATTGTTCAAATTATTTGTTGTATAAATATAATGAAATTATACTCGTTTATTGCCAGTCCTGAGAATTACTCCAGCGGAGGTGGAGGACAGTTTATACGTGCTAAATTCTAATGTTACAAGATGCATAAAGTGCCTAAAGGGCCCACGTAGAAGAAACTTTATTTTCAGTAACGATTCGAAAA